AGGAGCTGAGAAACTAAAATCTCTGGCCATGTAAGAGTGCAAAAAGGTAGCGTCTTTCATGTTGACATGGAGGGGTGCAGGGTCACAAATTAATGATTCGTATCTCAGATCCCTATCAGTGACTATGCAGCATACTATATGCCCAATGAATTGGTCGGGAAAAAAAAACGTTTTGATGAGATGATATCCTCCTGTTTTGTCGCATGTACCTATTGTGCACCTGTAACAGAACGCAGAATCGCGTTGGCCCCCAATTTTTCAGCATCGTTGAGTTGTGGACGATTCCGAAACGTCTTATCTCACTCTTACCTTCTTTTTCTCTCATATACTGTTCTTTCATGCTGTAATCTATCGCACCTTCGCCATTTAGGCTTCCAGAGTCAACCTTGTTTGCTGCAACTGGCTCACTTCCCACGGCCGTCACTTATTTTCTGCTTGAAATTTTGCATATTATTCGAACCAAAAGTGTGATTTTTGAGACGCTTTATTACTGTAAATTGTAACATTTTACGCTTCCCATTCACTCTGCTAAATACTCCGTTCATCTGTTATCTTATATTGCGCTGCAGTCAAAGTCTGTTCTTTCAAGAGATGCCTGAAATTTTGGAGATCCTGTGCATCCCGCGCCGGTTTTTGTGATGAGAAGCGTCGAGATATTGTCACTGATATATTCCATTGCTTTGTTTTGTTGGTGTTTTATTTCAGAGTGGTTCTGTGCTCAGTACATTGGCGTGCGTGCTAGCTAGCTGGCTTTGCAAAGAGTCTGAAAGATCTAAGTGGTCAAAATGTCGACAGGTATGTTTGTTATTGCCGCTCCATGTAATTTTTGTTTGTTTAACATCCGTGAAATTACGCCATGCAAAGGTATCAACTTAAAAAAAATTTTTGTTTTTATAGAATTTTATTTTTTAGCAAAATACGCAAACGATCTAGGAAAGAACTGTGAAATAACCCTATGTTATCGAAAAGGTTGCGCACCATTGCCACCACCAGGACACTACGGACAGCCGAAAGTACTGTACACATGCAGTGGTGTGAATCCATCGAACAGTATTAGCCGAGGACTGCGTCATATACCAGGCAGCCCGGAACGTATCCTGGATTTGCCCAATTTTATGGATGACTACTGTAAGCACCAGTCACTTTGTTTTGGATATTTTTGGGCAAGTTTTGGAGTTCCAAAAATCCCCTGTCTTTTTTTGAACATCTTGCTATAAACGTAGGCAATTCAAAATCTGCTGTGCAAAGCACCTTTGCTGCCTAGTTCTTGGTTATCGTGTTCTTAACAAGTAGATTGTAGCAACCAGGTTGACACTAGAAGCCTAAATGGCAAAGGTGCGATGTAAGAGAATATAAGAGAGGAAGGTAAGAGTGAGATAATACGTTTCGGTCTGGTATACTAAGAGGTTTCCTATTTAGGTTTTCATTCTGATATATCTTATTCACCTTACTTTTATTCTCTTACTTTTAAACCCTTACTTTTTACATAAACACACATCATCTGAAATTAAAATTACAATACTAAGAGATAAGATTACAATATACGCCTTAACTCAACACCGCGCAACAGGATCTCGTCAGTATAACGGTCGCAATGCTTAATGGAAAAGGAAGAGAGAGGAAGACGACAGAAAGAAGCAGAAGATCTAATAGTGGGATTAGATGGAGAAAGTGTGGGGTGAAGAAAGAAGGGAAAAGGAAGGAGAAAGAAAAAGATTTTAGAAAAAGAAAATTCATGAAAATTTGTGTGTTTAGACAGGAACGCGATTCACTGGAGCTCAGACAACATCATAGCAGTTGCATTAACCAATTCTGTATATCTCTGGAACGCATCATCCGGCGAAATTTCTGTAAGTGTTATTTTCCAGTCCATAGCTGCTAGCAAAAGCTAAGCAATATTGAAAATGGTAGGCGCTTTGGACTTTTTCTTTTAGTTCCAGAAAAAGAAGCGAAATGGCGATGATAGTGGTAGGGAAGGAACATGCGAGTTTTTCAAAGAGAAACGATTTCG